CATGTTAAAAATAGTCGTAATGAAATTGATAGCACCTAATATTGAGGAAACACCCGATAAATGAAGACTAAAAATAGCTAAATCCACAGCTCCTCCAGAATGACTGGTTATACCGCTTAAAGGTGGGTAGACCGTCCACCCGGTACCAGCACCTACTTCCACTAACCTCCCTTCGGTCGGCCCCTGCTCGTCCTGCTATCTTAGTCCGCCACTCCTCCATACTACTATAGGGTCCGAACCCTAGGCCTCGCATCAGCGCCGACCGTGAATTCCTGCTACCGTGCAGCGGCTCTCAGGAGATCTAGTTTGCGCAGCCCTCCGACAGTCCGATCATCGCAGCGCGCGGTCCTACAGCCGCGCAAGTTCGTCTTTCTTAGGTAATTTCTAAGGGCATGCGGGGCGGAATTCCGGCCAGATACCTTCGATGCCCAGCTAGTGTGGGTACCCCTGTTCTCGTACATGGACCGCGCAACTCTTCTCCGTATCGTTCCAATTTTAACAGATGTCCCGAAGGGCACAACCCGGGCTGTGGGGTCGATCAGCCCCGGCCCCCAGGTCCGCCATCTGGGTTCAGGCCCAGGTTTGTACTTCAATCAGTTCAATGGCGTGCCCACTGAGCTAGGCTCGTGGGTCCCGTACTGCCCGCGGCACCGCGTCCCAAGGCCAAGCGGGGCGCGGCTCTAGCGCAGCCACGAAAACAGTTTGTAATTGCACTCCAGGCAACCCCGCGAATGCAACACTCTCCACGCGACCCTACATCAACCCCGGTATCGCGTCCCGAAGCGGGACGTGAGTAAAAAGATGAAAACTAAAACAAAAGTAACAAGGGGTATATAAAAAAAATTAATAAAGAAGTAGAACGGGAAAAGGGAGGTTCCCGTGGATCGGGCCCACCGCCGCACCCGTTAACAAAACCGAGGGGGATAGCCCTTCCGGGCCCTCAACCCCTCAGGTTTCGCTCCATGCTGCTCTGCTGCTGCTGCGCCGACGCCCGCTGGCCTCGATCCCCAAACCTCCATAGTGTCAGCCCAATGCCATAACCTATAGGGCTAAGCCCAAGCCTGGTACCAGTGGGCTCGAATCTCCTCATAAAGAGGTAGGGCACGGCTCTTGGGGCCAAGGAAACACCCTATGCGACTTCCCGTCCCACACTTGCACAGAAGACTACCCAAAACTCGCGTCGGACTATCGGCCTCGCCACGACTACCCGTCCTTAGCCAAATCCATCAGGTCTCATCATCTGGATTCCGCGTAAGTCCACACAGGCTCACTGAACCGTGCACCGTACCATGCGGAACCAAAGAAAAGAGCGCCCATAGGCTAGTCAGCTTAATCAAAACAAACAACTGTTCTAATGAAGCACGTCGACCGGAATCCACGCCACGTCTTCCATCGCCATCAAAGAGAGAAAAAACCACGCGCGTCTCAAACCTGCGCGCCCACACACTCTCTAATCCTAGATGTTACCGCCGAATCTTTAGTCCGCAAACCCCTGCGACTCGCGGGGTCTTCCCATTAATTATGAATCGACCCATTTCTTTGTCAACTGCAAAAACCCAGTGCGAGTACCCTTGTAAGGGTATCCGCACCGATACCGCCGGCCAGCCACTATCGCATTGTCGACGGGTACTTGCTCCTCCACTCAAGAGGCAAGGACTTGTTATGTGTCCCACGAGACCGTCGTCTTCGGACTCGCCTTCTCGGCGAGTACCATGACTCGCGACTCGCCGGCCCTTTCGGAGTCAATCACACTCCCACACTCTTCTTCGTCTCTTCCCTCCTCCTCATCTGTGTATGAGTTGTGTCTGGCGCCTTCATCCTTGTGTGTGGCGCAAGGCCATTCACACCGTGTGATGATGATGTATGTCTAGTCTGCATTTCGACATTCATTGGGTCTGATCATTGGTATTCCAACCTTCCGATGTGCTATCTTGCTCTATCTATGAGAGGTCGGGTCTTTGTTCTGGTCTATACCATCCTGGTATGTGACGGTTAGGTATCACAGCAGACCTCTCGAAAGAGGATCTGCCCAATCAAGAAACCAACCTGATTAATTGATCAATGAAGTAAGGATTCGTCAAATTTCTGCAATTTTCTTTTTTTTTCTGTTCTGCTAAAGTTGTCACCTTGATTAGCACTAATTAGTGCTAACCTTGGATTGGCGCTAATCCCAATTAGCGCTAATCCGCGATTAGCACTCTAACCCTAATCAAGATTAACAACTAATTAGGGAAGGCACATCTGTATCCGCGCTTAGCACTTGAACCCTAATCAAGGCTGGTGGCAGTGCTGCTGGAGCAATCACTCGCGTGCTGGCTGCTAGCGCTGGACCAAGGTGCTGCGCACGTGCGGTCGTGTGGTGAAGCAGGGCGCTGCTGAGGGCAGCGCCATAGCCCAGCCTCCATAGCTGGTTGTGGGCTTGGACATGCAGTGAGGCGCATAGGTGGTCTTTAGGTGTACAGAGGGAAGACGTGGGTGTAAGTCGAGGGAGAGAGAGAAGGATGATGATGATGATGATGTGAGGGCACATACCTGGTATTGGCGATGGTCTGCATTGGGCGACATCTTCAAGTACTTCCCGGGTTGCTGACTTCAACAGTTGCATTGTCGATTAGTACGCAGATAGTAGCTGTGTAGCAAGTAGGCTGGGCGCCGAGCGCCAAGTAGGGAGAAGGGCCTGGACACATATGTTGGTGGTGGCGAGATCAAGCTCTCATTGACACTTGGTTTTCAATGTTACTATTCTCCATTGGTGTTTTATTGGTGCAATGCTGCTTTCTGGACACTGTGATACTCTCTAGCTTTCAATGTGATTGTGCAATCTGGATATTGTCATCTCGCTATTGATCATTTTCCTTGCAATTTGGTTACAGAGCTCGCTGATGTGGCATTTAAGCTGAGGTGGAACTACATTCCGTTGTTTGTTGTGTTGAGGCAAAGACCGGTCATCATAAATGCATGTCAGTTTGCCGGTGAGAAATCTGTGGTTGGGGGCAGCATTATGAGGTACATTGCTCTCTTCCTTGT